CCTTTATGTGGAATACTAATTCCCCTCTCGAAGAGGTGATTTTCGGTGCCATCGAAGAGCTTTTGGGATCTTCAAATCAAGGAGGAAGTGATGTTGTCTTCTTTACTCCCAACACCTTTTTAGGTTAAACATGATTACACGAGACCAAGAGAACGGAAAAGTAATAGGAGAGGGAAAAAAAAACACAAATTTTTAATTATAAAGTATAAAGATTAATTTTTTAATTAAATTTTAGAGATTAAATGGTTAACTTATTTTAATTAATGTTTTTCAATATTGTATTTATTCCGATTGTTCAATAAATTCACGTTTTTACCCTTCTAAATATATTCTCATTGATATTTTTTTGAAAAGATTGTGGAAGGGTAAAAATGTCATCTAGTGTCTATAAAGTCTCGTCTTTGATAAAAGTATAGGCTTTGATTGTTCGTTCGGACCCTTCAAACTTTCCTGTGTTCTTCGAGTGGTTTGGTTTAGATCTGATCCATCTTCGCAAATCTGGCTCTTTCTGGAAATTCTCTTCCGATTTTCTTCTGTAAGATTCTTTCTCATTTTCTAGCAATTTCAGCTCTTGATTCCTGCTTGTTTCTCTCGTGTATTTTTGTTTTCGCGCTTTTCTGATTCTGTTGCCTGGCAAAGGTTTCTGAGAATCTGAAGAGAATTAATCGACATGGAAATAGTTGTTCAGAGCTTTGGGAAGTAGGAAATGCCGAATGATTTTGTCGGTTCTGTTGTTTGCTAGATGGAAATTTGATTTGATTGTCTTGGGAACTAAGCTGAAACGGATCATTAAAATTTCTGTTTTAAAATAAGATCTAATTTCTTCGTTTTCTTGGGGATCAAAAAGTGGCTTGTTTTTCCAAGAAGATTGTCTGAAATTTCTCTTTGAAAATTGAAATATTGTTCTTCTGCTTCAAATTCTCTTTCACATTCTTAAAATTCCTTTTGGATTTTGTATATATGTTCTGTAGACATTGACATATCTCTCTTTTGCAGCTTAGAAAAAGCTAGAAATTTCCTCCCAAATAGTTGGGTATCCTGTTTCTTTCGTCATATGAAATGCTGGCTTTCTTCAGTGTACTGTCTTATGTCAAATATTTGAATGAATGTAGATTGTTGGAGTTCTTTACTTTTTTCTTGTTTAGAGTTTATTTTGTTATTTTCAATCCTTTGTATTTATTGTAATTTTTCATGTTTTTGCAGGGGCACCATTATAAAAGTTGTGGATGTGTTAACTTTACGTATTGAGAGAATAATATGCTTTGGTTGAGCATATCCATTGATGTATTTCGTAAAGTTGTGCATTTGATCGTCTATTGCAGGGTTATTTTGTAGATCACTTTTTGTATAGATAACACTGAATTGTTCCTCCCTGAGCTCCTTTTTTCTATCATCCATGGGTTCCAATCACTTTTTTATCATTTCCTGTAATATCCACATTAGCTGAAAAGCTTCCTGTCCTCAAACACCATTTTGGTTTTGGTCTTCTGTTTTAGTCTTATTTTTTCTGCCCCTTTGTCAAGGAATCTAGATAGCTCATTAAATTTCCAGTTAAATAGTTCTTTCTGCAGTGAATATTCTCCGTTTAAGGTTCAGAAGTAGTTATGGTGTGCCAAGCTGCAACCCAGACAAGATTTCGGGCATTGAAACATGAGAATGGAATTGCAGGAAAACCAACAATTATTGTTAGAGTGATCGCATGCTTTCAACCTTTGCAGAATTGTCAGGTTTGTCAACTCAGTCTCTGCATCGTGGTTTTGCTTGTTGATTAACAATTGAATTATTTGAATCCCTCTGCTTGTTCCCCCTGAACTTGGCTCGTTCACTACCATGATTAAACTTTTGGTTTTTCCTGTTCCAGGCCGAGTATTTTCGACAATTGCTTAAGCCTGTCACGTAGATTGAGTAGCATTTATTTCTCTTAAGCTGGACTCTTGCGAACTTCTTTTTCTCTTTGTTCCTGAAAGCATTTTGCAGATAACTCCCATAGCAAACTAGAGCACAACATTTTGAGGTAGTTCTTGCCACCTGCTTGCTAAGTTTATTCTCCTTATGTTATTTCGGTTGTTTCGAAATAGTTATATTTTGAAATATTGATTAGGTGGTTGTTTTGCGGTATGGTTGGGACTGATAACTCTCGGCTTGATTTTGAGCATTTTGCTTGGCAACTGCACAATCGTGATTCCATGAATGCACCAGTAGAGATCAAGCAACAGGAAAGCTTACAAGGGAATATCAACTGTGGAAATTGCATACTTCCCACATGTGTGGGAGGAATGCAAGGGTTTGCAATTCCACCATTACCCAGTTTTAAAGTGGAACAGCTAAATGTTGTTCAGGAGTCACGTCAATGCTTACCCCCTCATTTCCAGAACTCACTTGGTACTCCAATGCCTTGGCAGAAAGGAAAGGAATCTATGCATTATGCTCATGCTGGACCTAGTGGGATGCCTGTGTCAAAATCAAATAATGGCTCCTATCCGAAAGGTTTTCTTATCTTTGATCAATCTGGAAACCAGAAGAGATTGATGTATGCTCCTATGTATCCTCCTGTCTATATTCCCTCAACTTTTGCTGAAACCAAGCGTTGTGGTTGGCTTGAAGAAGAAGGGGCAGCTGGAGAGATTAATTCTGTCAAGTATTTTCCAAATACTCTGTCCAATGAGAATTATGTAGGTGATGGAGAGAGTGAAATGCATGAAAACACGGAAGAAATAGATGCATTACTTTACTCAGACTACGATGGTACTGGTTGTAGTAGCGACGATGAAGTGACTAGCACAGGACATTCCCCAGAGATGATCCATGATCATTGTGAGAAGGAAGAACAATGTCAAGAAACTACTACAGAAGCTGCTAGTTCTAATGGCCCAAGAAAAAGGCAGAGAGTGCATGATGGGGGCTACGTAAAATCACTGCCAATTGCTACGGCTTCTTCTGCAAGAGTTGAATTACAGAAGTTTGTCAATGACGCAGAATCAAGCTGTGGCATGGTCCATGAGGAAGAGGTTGGAACAGATGTTGATTTTTGCCGTTCTTCTTGCAAGAAAGACAGGATCAAGGAGACGTTGAGAGTACTTGAGAGTTTAGTTCCTGATGCTAAGGGAAAAGACCCATTGTTGGTTATTGATGAAGCTATTGATTACTTGAAGTCCTTAAAACATGAAGCTAGCGCTCTAGGTGTGAGCTGCTATTAGATCGCATGCCCCGAATTTAGATGTTGATGGTGTGGTAACTTAAGAATTCTTATTTTGGATTTTGATGGATGCAAGATCAGTTTGTGATGGGTTAGCAAATGGAGGTATAATGTCTGGATAACATTGAACCCAGCCGGTAATGAGTGAATTATTGCCATTTTTATTCGTTGACAAGACATGATTATGTTTGATGCTTTTAAGGGACTAAAGATCAGGGGAAAGTCACAAAGATTTGAACGCATGGGATGTGATAGTGGTGGGTTATGCTGAGAATTTAAAGACCCCACCTTTTCCAGCAATTTGGAGAATCTCCCTGGATTGAGTGCATGCGTGTTAGGTAACTGAGGTCCCACTTTCCACACTTTTTTCTGGATTATGTGCTATGTCTTTACCCTCATTACTCATTTATAGAGATTGTGCTGTAAAAGTGGAGCTTGTCCCTTGTGGTGTTAGGTAGATCTTGCACGGTTCGAGTTTTGATTATGAGAGCACTATGAAACTTTTGAAACTTTTGACTGATATCAGCTTTGGAGATAGATTTTAGTTTTGCTATTAGGTGTTGCGTTGATGTAATAATTGAGGTGTGAATGCTTTTGTGAGTCTATCATGTTACATGTACTGCTTTCTCTATGCTTGTACTTGATCTAAGCCTTGAGAATACTGGCTGTATAATTATATTGTTGATGAATTATACCATACGAGATTGTTAGCCAAGTGTTTTCTGCATATTGCATATAGTTATTGAGCCATTATCCTTTTGAAATGGATCAAATCTACCACTAGCAAATATTGTCTTCTTTAGGTTTTTCCACACCTTTGTAAGCAATGTTTTGTTTCCCTCTCCAACCGATGTGGGGTATCCTCGCTGGCACCCTGGTGTCTAGCTCTGATACCATTTGTAACAGTCCAAGTCCACCACTAGCAGATATTGTCTTTTTTGGATTTTCTTTTTTGGATTTCCCTTCAAGGTTTTAAAACACGTTTACTAGGTATAGGTTTCCACTCTTATAAGGAATGTTTCGTTCTCCTCTCCAATCGATGTGGGATCTCACAGAAAGCCTCTTGTTGCCAATCTTCTTCATCGACATACACCTTCTCATCTTCCCAATGCTCCATCCATGATTTCAACATCTACTGTATCTTCCTCTAACGGTTGGATACCGAGTTGGTAGGCTCAACCACTACAATATCAACAAAGTAGAAGAATGGTAAATTAATGGTGAGTTCCAAGTTTTTTAGGATCAATGGTGAGTTTGCGTTATCTTACCCTCTCACGCGCAGGATTTAGTGGATTGATACCTTATAAACTGGGAAATCTATCAAACTTAGAACCATCTTGATTTGCGATGTACTTTCATCGCACAGCTGTATACTGAAAATCTTGGTTGGCTTCATGGTTTGCGTTCTTTATTGAAGCTAGATTTGAGCTATGCAGACCTTAGTAACGCATCTTCTTGGTTACTAGACATGAATAAGCTTCCCTCGCTTCAAGAATTACATTTATCGAGTTGTAAACTTGTTTAGTTCTTGACATTTCTTGGAACAACTTCGTGTCTTTCCTACCCAAATGGATATCAAATCTCAGTAGTCTTGTTTCACTTGATCTAAGTGGTAATAAGTTCCAAGGTCCAATTCCATGTGCTCTTCAAAACATGTCAGCCCTTTCATATCTTGACCTATCAAGCTCAGGTTTCAATTCTTCAACCATACCCAGTTGTCTCTACACTCTCCACAATCTTCAACATTTGACCCTTAGTTATGTTGGCTTAAAGGGGGGAATCTCAAATGATATTGCCAACCTAACAAATCTTAGAATCGTTGCATTTACGAAACAACAGCCTTTCCGGAGTGATTCCTCGGGCTCTTCAGAGTTGCTTGAAGTTGAGAGCTTTAGATCTCAGTCTAAATGCCTTCAATGGAAAAATACCAGCATGGATTGGCATGAAGGATTTGGAGTCTCTTGATCTCTCAAGGAACCAACTCTGGGGACGAATACCACCGTCCATGTCAGAGTTATCGTTCCTAGCTTACTTGAATTTGTCTTGCAATAACTTGTCGGGTCCAATTCCGACAGGTACTCAGCTCCAAAGGTTTACTCCATATAGCTTTATTGGCAATGAGGTGTGTGGAGATCCATTAAAGAAGAGGTGCGGAAAGGAGGGTGTGAGCCCAGAAATTGGGAATGAAAATGGAAAAGAAAGGGAGGGAGGAAGTATTATTGATGAGTGGTTTTATCTGAGTTTGGGAATTGGGTTTGTGTTTGGGTTTTGGGGGATTTGGGGTCCATTGTTACTCAGTAAGGCTTGGAGAGTAAAGTACTTTAGGTACTTAGCTTCTGTATGCCACAAACTCACATAGCTCAGCGATGTACTTCTTGTTCTGTTTTGTTCTTTGCAACACATGTCATCAAGCTTTGAAATGCCCTGAGACTCAATGGAAAAAATGTATTTTTGGGCTTAAGCCAAAGATGAGAAACATTAGCACCATTCGAAATCGGTAAACCGAGACTCCAACAAAAAAATTTATAGCACAACTCAACGGGTTAAAGCGTATGGCCTCAATTAAGAGGTCAAATTCCCACATTCTGCTCGTTTCAACACCAAAAAGATGCAGGTATGTTTCCTTCATCTATCCACACATTTGGTCATATGTCTCAAACAGACATGTCTAGAACAGGAGGCTTTAGTGGACTTGAAACAATGGCACAAAACTCACTCGAAGTGAAAAGAAACAATAACAAATGTGGGAAACTGTTCTGTTCTTCTCTTTCCTGATGTTTATATGTCATGATATTGAATTTCTCCATCTTCTGTGTACTTTTTTAGTGTGTTCTTCAATGGTTGGATGGTGGGATTCATTTTCTGTGGTTTCCAAAGTTGAAATCTTAGTAGTCAGTTTGCTCAGTTTCTTCCACCCACTGCTCCAACCAGAGCTCTGCTTCTGCTTGTTGTTCACCTTCTCAAACTGCCTCTGCAACTTCTCCATTTCAGTTTGAAGCTCAACATACTTGTTCTTCACAGTCTCAAGCTCAAATTTCAGTGTGTTAATGTCCTTATTCGCCGCTGCCCACCCTTCTTGGAATGACTGTGGTGTGGCTTCCAGGAGTGTTTTACGGTTCATTACAGGCAGTTGGAATTGCGAGTCGCTTGCTTCTTTAAGCGACGAGTTCGAAACTGCATTGCTTATCTTTACTTGCTCGGAGAAGAGGACCTGAACCACCACACGTAACGGGAGCCTTTCGTTTTGTGCTGCGTGCATACAGGCATCAATGGAGAGCTTCTGGCAATCCATTACTCGGCATAGCCGCTTCCTCTCGTGCTCAGTGAGCGTAGGGTGCGCCTGTCATCACCACCAGTTCACTTAGAAAACACTTAATGTGGGAATTCTTGTATCTTAAATGACTGCAGCTTCAGTTCTTGATGAAAGATTATGCAACAACTTTGTAAGTTTCTTACCTTAAGATATGAGTCAATAGCTCGGTAAAGCCCGTCGTCGCATGTTCGAGCAGATTCGGGCAGAGCTTCAGCCAGTACTTGAAATTTTGTCAAGGAAAGGTTTCTGTCTCTGGCTACCTCTGTTAGGTAACTATCAACAAGCCTTGCCACCCTCATCTTGGCATTTTGGATCACACCCCTTTGAGATCCATCATACATATGTTTATCGGAAAACGATTGTCGGCCTGGACTCGAAATCTCGGTCTGTTCCTGAACAAGAAAATGCTCCAGCAGCCTCTGAATAAGATCAACATCATACGTTGTATCGCTCTTGCTGTAAGATGGTATCAAAAGATCCACAAGTGTGGCTTGCTCAAACTGCATTCCAACTCTTTTCTCCAACTCAGTGACCAATGCCGGCGAAACTTTCAACATGTTTGCCATTCTAAGCAGCTTTAGCAGGAAGCTGCATGAGACACAATCTTTCTGTGGAGGAATGATGCTGATCAAGCTCTCGATGATCATTCGTTCATCTTTTGCCTGAATCGTCGAGTGATCTTCCTTGTTGCCAGCCACAATCATATGGATCCCGCCTCTCCAACTGTTGCTGCCACCGCTCGTGTGACTCGTCGCACTGGTACTCCCTTCATCACTGGCGTTCGTCGTATCAGTTACCGAACCGGGAAGCCATTTCGAAGAATAATGCATAATTGATGATCCAATCACTTCAAACCTCATACCCTTCACTTTGATTGCTGTGATTACTCTAACAAAGTGATCAATTCTAAGGATTGAAACATCCTCAAACCACCAATCAGGAGGAACAAGCTGATGATTCCTACTAGGACTTGAATCCTTCAAATCATTCCATTTGGGACTACAAACTTTGGTGGGTTTCCCAGTGTATGCCCATCTAATTCCTTTCGGATTCGCACAAGCTTTCCAAGCAATCGACTCGCTGCATCGTCGAATGATTTGTAGATTCTCAGCCCATGGCGAGAGCTTCTCACAGCTTTTCAACACAACTATGGAATCCCTCCATGAAGACAGTACCACATAGCTCAAAAACGCTTCAGTTTTGAATATCAAATTGCCTTCCTCCAAATCCTCAGTCATTTCAAGATACTCAGCAGCACATCTAAGGCCAGAGATATTAGCTGCTGTTAAATCAACCGCTAGTCCATAACAAAATTTGGCTGCAAGTTCAAAGGCCTCAGACCCACCAGGAAGATCATCAAAAACAAGGTTATTATTCAAATCTGGGCCTCTGGATTCATATATGCATCTGTTCATCTTCCCACTTCTAGAAAGAAGAGGATACTTCATACACCCAAAAAAACAGAGGAACCCCATTAAGAAAAAAAACCCTATTCATAGTTCAAAGGCATCTCTCAAAACAGAGGAGATTGATTGTACAACACCTTATGCAAATGGAAATTCACACCCTCAACTTTTACTAAAAGGTCACTAGGGATATCAGTAGCAACATGCCTGCAAGAACACATAAAGCGTGGAGGAGTACAGCCACAACAGAACACAATCAAACAAATTCAGAGAAAATGGCAGCCACAAAAGGTTCAGAAGAAGAAGAAGAAGAAACCGTACCATGAGTTGCCTCTGAGGTCGAAGCCGTGAGTGTTGAGGGCGTGTTTGGCGGAAGGGGGGACGCCATTGCCGTAATCTCCAGCACCAAAACCAACAGAATGATTCTCGGATTCCCACATCGGAAAGTGACAGATGAAAAGAAAGCGGGGAAGAATATGAGGAGAGGGGGAAGAAGAAGAAGAAGAAGAAGAAGATAGAGCGATATAGAGGGGAAATAGGGGAAACCCACATGGGATGATTGGAATTATGTGGTTGAATTGTCGGCTTCTTCACTGATTTTTCAGTGGGTGTGAAGTAAATGGGGTGATGGGTAGATGATGGATCATTCTGATTGCATCCCCTTTGCTTTGTTTTTGCATTAATAATGCTTCTTTCAGATGCTCTCCCTCTCTTTCACTACTCCAAAATGGGGCCGCCATGGAAGCACGACGAACATAGCTTCTCCTGTGCTACCAAAGCAAATAAATTATCTTTTAAAGATAGCAACTTTTGCTTCTTTTTTTTTTTTTTTCCCCTCTTTTGGGTTATTATAATAATTTTGCTTATTTATATTTAGATTGATATTTAATATTCATTAGTCAGGAACAATTTTTTTTAAAATGGTTGCTTGTTAGAGAAGATTATGTGAAATGTTAACTTAAATTTCAGACCGTATTCATGTAGCATGTCTAAGTTTTAATGTAAGTCGTCCAAAAGGTGGGGTAGGTTAGTTTTCAAAAATTTAAAAATAAAAATATTTTAATATTTTTTTTATTATCCAAAACCTAATTTAATATTAATTTTTCAAACTTATCAATCCTTTAAAATGCACTTTATAAATTTTTGTACTCATCTTCTCATTATTATATCACTATTTGGTCAGGTTTGATAAATGGGTATAGGTCGGTATCTAAAATATCTTATCGTTCTAATGAAAATTATAAATAAACTATTTTAAAGATTAAATAGTTATGAAATTCAAATATTAGAGATTAAATTTGTAATTTTAACGATAGAATATGTTATTATCAAAATTAATAATTTATTACTGTATTTTTTAGGTTATACATAATTGAGATAGAGAAATGAACCTAGGAGACGTCGAGTATAACAGAAGTATATGAATAAACCAAAATCATGGCTAAACGAGATTGAAGACAAATAATTATTGTGAGATCTCACATTGGTTAGAGAGGAGAACAAATTATTCCCTCCAAAGACATGAAAACTCCACCCTAATGGATGCGTTTTAAAACCGCGAGGTTGACGACGATATGTAACGGACTAAAGCAGACAATATCTGTTAGCGGTGGGTTGGGTTTGGGATGTTACATGTGAGTAGAATCCCTGCTCTAATCCTCATAAAAATAAATAAAATTTTTATAAAATGGCGTGGTGTTATATCAATCCTATCATATAGAATAAAATTATACTTAATTAATGACTTTTAAAAATACAAATATTATATGTTTTTATTTATAGAAAAATATTATATATAATTTTATATTTTATATTTTTTTTTAAGAAAAAAAAAATAAAGATGTTTTATTTTTCATAAAGCTGATTTATCACATCGTTTCTTTCATCTCACTAAATTTTGTTTCCCAAAAGTAAAGAGAGATTTCCTTTTTTGTCAATTTAATTAATAAATATGTAAATTATGTCTTAAAAAATGGATGGAAAATGATTGAATATCATCTGGTGTGGACTCTTTTTTTTTTTTTTTTCTCCCTTAAATTATTGGAATATGGATTTTCTTAAATAAATAATAATGTAAAACCCGTTACTCTTTTAGAGTTATATACATGTTCGTTTAGACCAACTTTAAATTTTGGATTGGTTGTGTTGATGACTTGAGTAACCCGGTTCACAGCCCAACTCTCTATTTTTGGGTTGAGCAACCACATTAATACTTATTCACACGGTATGTTACGTTAATAACTAAAATCTTAATTTTTTTAAAGTAAGATAGGGTCGGTAAGGTTGACCCACCATAAAAATGTCAACCTACAAACCGAATTGAATTTTGGTTCTCCAAAAATTCAACTCAATTCAAATCGAAAAAATATAACCCTTTATGATTTAGGTTGGATCGAATTAGTCAGATTCAAATTAAATGATATTGATCTAATAACAAAATGGTTATTCACATCGTATTGAACATTCTATCATCGGACGATGAACTATAATATTCAACTCATCTAATAAAAGCTATTAGGACAAGTTTTTTTTTTTTTTTTTTTTATATAACTAATATTAGTTTTTTTTTTGTTTTTTTAATTTCTAAAATGACATTAAAAAATTAATTAAAATAATAATTGTGTTGGCCAAACAGCGATGTGGATAAGGAAGGAGGGACTCTTGACAGGTGGCTCTTGTTGATAAGAATGTGCTTCCCATGACTCACTCACATTCATTTTTTATTTTATTTTATTTTTCAATTAAATTGAAATTTCACATTTATTAATTATAATAATAATAATAACTATTATTATTATTATTTATTCTCGTGTGGATCCTATTCAAATTCGTAAAAAAAAAAACGAACTATGTAACATCGATCTAAGACATCAAAATATATAGAGAGAATTTAAGAATGTTTTTATTGAAGTATGAGTGAGAACTATATTGTGAGATCTCACATCAGTTGGAGAGAAGAACAAAGCATTTAAAGGATATAAACATCTTTCTAATAGACGTGTTTTAAAATTGTGTGGTTGATGGCAATATGTAACAGGTCAAACCATACAATATTTGCTAACGGTGGGCTAGGACTGTTACAAATGGTATTAGAGTCAGACACTGAGTGATGTGTCAATAAGAATGTTGGGTCCCGAAGGGGTGGATTGTGAGATCTTATATCAGTTGAAGAATATGTTGACCTCCAAAGAAGGTGGATCATCAGTTGGAGAGGAGGATGAAAGAAATATTCCTCGTGAGACTGTAGAAACTTCTCCCTAATAGATGCATTTTAAAATCGTGAAGCTAACGAGAGTATGTAATGGGTCAAAGCAAACAATAGAATAGGTCTTCGTTTTAGGGATTGACTATTTACCTATTCAGTGAATTTTGGCATTATACATTCTAAAAGTCCCGAATCAAAAAAATAAAAAATTGGGTACTCGATAGAATGAGTGAACTACTCGATCAACTAAAGACGGGGATAGATTAACCAGTGTGTCTAACTGATGAGTCATCTACATCTTTGACATTTGTATTAAAAGGACAGGCTATTCAATTGGAACCTTGTGTCCAATGGCGCTGCCTAGCGTTAAAGCCATCGCTGAAACCCCCAACTTAGCCTCCATTCCTTCCTCTTACATCTTCACCACCAGCGACGACTCAGACGATGTTGCCGCCGCCGCCGATGCAGCTCCACACCGTGTCGAAGTTTCGATCCCCACCATTGATTTTTCTCTCCTAACCACCGGTACTTCCCATCAACGATCCAAAGTGGTCAATGAGCTTGGCAAGGCCTGCCATGATTGGGGCTTCTTCATGGTACGTTATTCAAATTACTACTAAACTCAAAAGCTTAGTACCCGCTTGTCATATTAAATTAATAAGCTCGTTGTAGGTGATCAATCATGGAGTGGGGGAGGGGTTGATGAAGGAGATGGTGGAGATCTGTAGAGAATTTTTTGATCTAAAGGAAGAGGAGAAGAGAGAGTATGAAACAAAGCATGTGCTTGACCCCATCAGATATGGCACCAGCTTCAATCCTAAGATGGAGGAGGTGTTCTTTTGGAGAGATTATTTGAAGGTCTTGGTTCATCCCAAGTTTCACTCCCCACCTAAACCGACAAGATTCAGGTTTGTCGTGTATTTTCTTTTTAGTAAGAAATCGAGCTTTCACGTTCAACAAGATTCAGGTCTGTTGGTGTGAGATCTCACATCGGTTGGTGAGAAGAATGAAGCATTCCTTATAAGGTGTGAAAATTTCTCCTTAACAAACGTGTTTTAAAACTGTGAGGCTGATGTCAATATGTAACGGGCTGAAACGAACAATATTTGCTAACGATGAGCTTGAATTGTTACAAATGGTATCAGAGTCAGACACCGAGTGGTGTGTCAGCGAAGACGCTGGACCCTTAAGGGGTGTGGATTGTGAGATCCCACATTAGTTGGAGAGGAGAACGAAGTATCCCTTCTAAGGGTGTGGAAATCTCTACTTAATTTTAAAACAGTGAGGCTGACGCAATACATAATTGGTTGAAATGGACAATATCTGCTAGTTGTGAGCTTGAGCAGTTACAAATAGTATTAGAGCCAGACACCAAGTTGTGTGTCAGCCATGACGCTGGCTCCCAAGGGAAGTAGATTGTGAGATCCCACATCAGTTGGAGAGGATAACGAAACATTCCTTGTAAGGGTGTGGAAATCTCTCCTTAACATACGCATTTTAAAACCGTGAGGCTGATGTCAATATGTAACGGGTCGAAGTGGACAATATCTACTAGCGGTGAGCTTGGGCTATTATAAATGGTATCAAAGCCAGACTACGAACGGTGTGCCAGCGAGGACGCTGGCTCCCAAGGAATGGAGTGTGAGGCCCCACATCAGTTAGAGAAGAGAACGAAGCATCCCTTATAAGGGTGTAAAAACTTCTCCTTAACAAACGCGTTTTAAATCCACGAGACTGACGACAATACGTAACGAGTCAAAGCGAACAATATTTACTAGCGATGGGTTTAAGATGTTACAAATGATATCAGAATCAGACACCAAGCAGTATGCTAGCGCGGACGTTGGACTCCAAGGGGGTAGATTGTGAGATCACATAAGTTCGAGAGGAGAAGAAAATATTCCATACAAGCGTGTGGAAATCTCCCTCTAATGGACTCATTTTAAAACCATAAAACTAACGGCTAGACAATATCTGCTAGCGGTGGGCTTGGACTGTTACAGTCGGGCGACATATCAAGCAGCTCGACACACCTGAAACATTTGGTTGATTATTGCAGGGAGATCTTGGAAGAGTACAGCAAGAGAATCAGAGAAATGGCAAGAGAATTGGTGAGAGGAATATCAGAGAGCTTGGGATTGGAAGCCTATAACTTAGAGAAAGCAGCAGAACTTGAATCAAGTTCAACACTGTTTGCAGCAAATTTGTATCCGCCATGTCCACAGCCACAGTTTGCAAGGGGCTTACCACCTCATTCTGATCAGTGCCTTCTCACTGTTCTTCTTCAAAACCATGTTTCTGGCCTTCAAATCCTACATGATCATCAATGGCTCACTGTCAATCCCGTTCCCAACGCGTTACTCGTTAACACGGCCGATCAACTTGAGGTACGCACCCACGCAATTCCTATACCTCGAATATTACGATACGTTTCAATTATACTTCTCGATCGATCTTGAAAGTTTCTCTTTTACACAAAAAAAAAAAATACCCTTAAAGTTTTGAAATTTTGCATTGATAAGTATATTTTCATTAAAATAAAGGAGAATAATTGACGTGAATATTTAAAAATTAG